TWWTTTYMAWTTTTTTTTTTTAATCTACCAGATGACTCTTAAAAAAGAAGATCCAAGAAACCTAGAGTTATTTTCTTTTAAATCACTGCTAAGCTGTAGAGTACGAAAACAAATTCAGTCTCACCTTGCTGTGATGCAGGAATAAGAACCTGCTGGGTCTGTGCTTGCTGAGGTACTGTCTGCTGAGGTTGAGTTTGCTGATGGTGGTGGTGGTGGTGGTGTTGCTGCTGCTGAGGTTGATGCTGCTGTTGAACTTGCAATAAAAGCTGTTGCTCTTCTGAATGAAATCCATCTACTGCCCTAGACTGCATTAGTTTATTCTCCCATAACTAAGGCAAAGAACATAAGATTTCTAAGTGAAGGTCATATAAAATAACTCTGGATATATGGACAAAATATACTATTATCTGTTTATAAATCCCTTCCATTTTAGAAACTGATACAACCACAAAAAATGAAACCCATCTTTCTTAACCAAGAATAAAGAATAATGAAAACAAATTAAATTAAACCTTAAAAAAAAGAATTAAACCTTGTTTCTACCACTTTGAGTACTGAAGAGATTTTTCTTGATTTCTCTTTTTATCTTCAATCTTTTTACAGTAATTGGCAGATATTATTTAGCAAAGAGTTTCATACAAACAATTTTTTTAGTAAGTGAAGATTATCTTTTGCAGTATCCAAACCTTTACTAACCTATTTCTATATAACTCTTTCCTTTAATACAAAACTTCCTGACTCTCCAAAAATAGATACAGAACATAAATAGATAAATTCATCTCTTCTTAATCAGGCAAATAAGAAACACAGAGGCAATCCCCTGGTTAGAAAAGCACAATTTCCCATTTATCCAATCCTACATAAGGTAACAGTAATGGCTGATGGTCTTGGAGGTTTTTGGAATCCTCCACATTACCTGAAATTTCCCTATTCCTCCCATTATGTCAAAGATTGTTTTCTGCTTTGCATCTTCTCTTAGTAAGATGAGAGTCCCTAATCCAAACATTAAAAATCTTAAATGCTCCAAAATCTGAAATTTTTTGAGTACTGATACGATCCCACAGTGGAAAATTCCACACCATAAAATTTGTTTCATGCACAAAATTATTAAAAGTATTGTACAAAATTAACTTGAGGCTAAGTGTATAAGGTACATATGAAACACAAATGAACTTCGTTATGTATATGCATATATTCCAAAATCTGAAATACTTCTTCTAGTCACAAACAACACAAACATTAGTATTCATGTGATGGGGGGAGGGTCAGTGAAATGGACCAAAAAAGGGAGAAAAATAAAATACTTGCAACTTTTTCAACCTTCTGCCTAATACATTTTCTTTTTTACCACATTCAGTGTTAAATTTAAAGCCTCAATCCTGTTTCTTAAAAACACAAATGAAAGAATTCAGTCATTTTGTACCCAAGGATCTACAGAAACTGTTTTTCTCATTTAGGATCTGCTCTTGGAATATTCCCTAACTCATCTGAACTTTCTAGCAGTTCCTCCAAATTCCTGCCATACAGAAGTTTTCCATAATCTCCTGACTCTTTCCCACTCCAGACATTCTAGATTTTTGTCTACATGCTAATAACAATTCTAGCACATCTTACTGAAATTTCCCAATGCAACCTTCCCCCAGTAGCCCCAGTAATTAGTCTTACCTGAAATTGATTCTTACAAAGATGAAACAATATCTATTCATGGTTGTTTTATGGATTAAGCAATATGTTCAAAAACAAAATAACTACAACAACAAAAAAGAACACCAACAGAGTCTAAAGTCAGTGACCAATACATGTTAGTTGTTGTTACTATTTTTTTAGTGATGGTATTAATTGAGTAATAGAGCATTATACCAGAAATCCAGAAACGGTTAATCCTGGTTTGGCTACTAATATGACCGAATCATTTATCTCTCTTAGGCACTTTCCTCATCTAAAAATAAGAAAAACTGCATTAATTACTCCTCACTTCCAGCTCTTAAATCTAGGCCTATGCAAATCCCAAACTAAAACCAGATTTTCCTGTGGTAACAAAGCAGTGCTTTCTGAAAGTCCAAACTATGTCTGGTTCATCTCTGTAAAGTGGGTTCCTAGCACTGACAAACACACTGTCAAAATAGGTGCTTATACATCTAATAAAACACATTACAACTCTGTCACCCAAACCTATCTCCTTTCCTCTTCCAAAACAAAACAAAATCTAGATTATTGAGGCAAAAAATCAAGTTTTTTTTAAAAGTACTATTAATGATTTTAGAAATTATCTTATAAAACCTAATTTTCTTAAAAACAATTTTTTTTGGATGCCAAAGATTGAACCTGGATCCTCATGCATACTAAACATGGGACTCCACACCACTGAATTATACCTTAATCACTTCAATTTTTCTAGAGTTAGCAGGGTATGGTGGCCCCGGTCTATAACCAAAGGAACTCAGGAGGCTAGGGAGACATAGTGACTATTGTCTCAAAATAAAAAATAAATAGAGCTAGAGATAAGCTCAATGATAAAGCACCTCTGGGTCTAGCTACTGCAATCTAGACCATACAATAAAGCTTCAGTGATGATGACAAATATTCATTACATATTATGTGCAGCTAAGTGGTGGGTATCACAATTCACCAAGGTTAACAAGTCAACAACCTAAGGAATTAGATTCTACCATAAGACTCCAACAATATTGTCAATTTCCCTTCTGAAGCAATGCTTCAATCTATCCACACTATTATGGCCCTGGTTCCTCCCATCAGAACTACTGAAAAGGGTACTGATGTAATAACAGAGTTCATTGAACTTCTTGAATCGAGTCATGCATTCTTTCAGGCATTGAAAAAACAGAGTAGACAAATCCAACAAAATTCTTGTTTTCAGAGCTTATATTCCAGTGGAAACTTGTCTTTTCAATCTAGCCTCTACTATACAGGTTCTCAAAATGTGGTCCTGGACTAACAGCATTAGTATCACCAGGAACTTGTTAAAATGCTAATTCTTAAGTCCCATCCTATACCTACTACACCAACAACTCCTAGGTGAAGCCAACAAGCTACTTTAACAAACTGTCCCAGTTATTCTGTTGCTTGTTTAAAATAAGGATCACAACCCATTAGTGATGCGCGCACGCACAACACACACACACACATCAATTTAGAATTGTTTTTGTAATAAAATCAAAACTAAAAAGAAAATGCAGAGTAAAACGTTTTGCAGATTTTTGTTATACACACATTTATGTAATATTGGATCAAAAAATTTAAAACTATATTTAATCAAAATATTAAATACTATTACTTTTACAGGAGAGTCCTAGACAAAAAGTTTGAGAAAACATTGCTCTACACTGTCACCAACATGAATGATCTAAACTTTATAAATATATCTTCTACTTAAAAATGGTGTCTATGACAAACTGTAAYCTGTAGGTACATATTCTATAACCTGGAATACAGTAATCCCCTCTTATACTTAGGGGATATGTTCCAAGACTTCCAGTGGATGCCTGAAAGCATACTAAGCCTTATATAATGGGGTTTCCTCCTATATATACAAACCTATGATAAATTCTAAGTTATGAATTACACATAATAAGAGATTTTAAAAAATCTTAATTGTACTGTATTCACCCTGATTCTTACAATGATGTGAGATGATATGATGCCTACCTGCTGAGATGAAGTGAGATGAATAACACTGGCATTGACACAACAGGTACCATATAAGGGTTATCTGTCGCGACCCCTTGCCCGCAAGGAAGACGCAACTCAGGAATCTTCTTTCAGCAGTTTATTCAGGCCTTTGTTTTGACATGTCTTTTAGCTTCTACTGCTACTCCTACTACTACTTCTACTGCTACTCCTACTGCCACTACTWCTACTGCTACTCCTACTGCCACTACTACTACTCCCGTGTGCCCCAGCCTTAATAAAGCAGATAAAGCCCCAATGCACAACTGCCACGTGGACTTTTCTCATAGGGTGCCAAGTCACAGCGTGCCAACTCATTCTGATAAGGAGTTGTTTGTCACAGACTACAGGGGAAACCAGCGCCATCTTGTAATGGCGGCCACAGTTCACAGAAACGGCTCACCACAGTTATCCAAACACAAATACTGTAAAAGTTGATCTGATACAACTGAGCCATTCCCTAAGTAATTAACGAGTGAACAGCGTATGGGTACACTGGACAAAGAGATGACTCATGTCCTGAGCAATATGAAAATGGCTGGAGAAAGACTTTATCATGCTACTCAAAACAAGCAATTTAAAAGTTACTATTTACTTCTAGAATTTCCCATTTAATGCTGACCACATGTATGCAACCCTGAGATGGGTGCAGTGGTGCATACCCATAATAATCTCAGCGGCTCGTGAGGCTGAGGCAGGAGGATCATGAGTTCAAACCCAGTCTCAGCAACTAAGCAAATCAGTGAGACCCTTTCTCAAAAGGGCTGGGGATGTTGCTCAGTGGCTTAGTGCTCCTGAGTTCTATCTCCAGTAACAGGAAAAAAAAAAGAAACCCTGAAAAATGAAACTCTGGGTAAGGGGTCTCTACTGTACTGATTCCTGAGTTCCATACAGTCCTCAAAACTTGCATTTTAACTAGCACCCCAAATAATCCTCACAGTCTACAGATCAAGTTCCTTAGCATGACATGCGTTACCATAAGCCAAATGCTACTGTAACTTGAACTTTATTTTCTAACAATAGCAAAACACCTGCAGTTTCCAGAATAATAGAGTATTCTTCGTATTCAGCTGTCTTCCCTCAAAATTCCCAAAACAAGACAAATGGCAAAGTCATATAGCTTAAAAAAAAAAAAAAGCAATCACTCACTATATATATTAGAGATGTCTCTATTTTTGTAATCACACTAAGTCTACCTTCTCTATTAAGTCATATTGACATCAACTACAGACTGCCATATCCTCATGATCTGACATTTTGACTATGTATTTAGCAGTCATTTAGTATTTTTTTTTTTTTCAAAGAAAAAACAGAGAAACAAACTACTGTTTTCTAGGAGGCTACTGACATTTTCGGCAGAGCAATTCTTTATTGTAAAGGACAGTCCACAGGAAATGTGAAGGAAATGCAACATAGTCCTGGCTCTTGCCTACTAAATGCCAGGTGTCTAATAGTCTAATGACACACAAACATGGTCCCACAAATTTCCAAAAGCTTTATAGTGACTGGTTGGGATAGTTCATTCAGAATCAGTACTTACCAAGTACCAAAATACTGTTTTGATATGAAAAAAATAAAAACAATGCCATGTAAATACAAGTATTAAGCCTAAACATCAAATAATGTGAAGTTTGAATGGATT